ATATCTTTCCTTTCTCCACAGCCGAATTTTGTTTTTTTTTTTTTTTATTTTACTTTAAAGTTGTTTTTTTTTTGTTTTTTTTTTTTTTTTCATCGTAAATTTTCTTTTCTTTTTTCATCGTCGGACTTTTTATTAACGAGAGAACAACAGTTTTGAGTAGAAGTTTAAAACGACTAGAACATTGGCTAGAGAATTAAAAAGATATCTTTCCTTTCTCCACAGCCGAATTTTGTTTGTTTTTTTTTTTTTTGGGTTTTTGTTTGTTTGGTATTTTTTTTTTTTTTGGTATTTCCTTTTAAGTTAAAGTTAAAGTTAAAGTTAATGTTAAAGTTAAAGTTAAAGTTAAATATATCTCTTTGTGGTTTTAAACGCAACATGAAGAGACAGAGACAGGACATAAAGATAGAGTGAATTTTTAAAAGGGATTGAGAAGGGATTGAAAAGGGATTGAGTCTTGAGGGGGGTGGGGAAAAGGGGGAGGAAGATTAGAGTGGATTTTAAAGAGGTAAAATGTGTAACCGTGTACATTCGTTTGTACGTGTTAATGTAATTGAAATGTCTCGATTAGAATGTAGATTAGGAGACAAACAGGGTAAGAGTTAGTGTATATTCTTGTGTGTGTGCGTGTGTGTGTTCGCCCGTGTTAATATGTTTTTTAGTGTGATTAATTTTAAACTCTGTAGATATGTATGCGTGTATATGTAACGTAGTACATGTACACAAAAATTCGTACATAAGTTCCAGTCGGTGTAGAGATTACTATTGCCGGCGCAGAGATTCGTTTTGTAATTAACTGTTTCTAAAATCTAATTAGTCATAGATTATAGAGAGATAATAATTATACCAATAGTAAGAATAATAATGATAATCATAATAATTCTAACGATTCGTTAGCGTTAAATGTGTAGGTACAATAGAATCATTTTATAGTAGCTTTACTTTTTTGCAATAACGTTTCGATATTATAATTGCCTTTTCAATTATTTCCCTATTTCGTTATTCTTGTTGTTCCTTTCATTTTGTTTTGTTTTTTTTTTTTAATCGCTTTTTTCCTCGAGAATATAGGAAAAAATATAGCTACTTGATTGTTAGAAAATAAACTTAATTGTACAATATATTTCCAAACCTAAGCGGACAGGTTTTGAAATAAGTCGGCGCGTTCGGCATAGAGAGTTTCTTAATATAATTAATAATTAATAATATAGATATATTTATATGTAGTAGAAATAGATAGAGAGAGAAAATGAAAAGATACATAATTAGAAGGAGATATCGGTCAAAGTATGTATATTAGCGTGTAAAGATAAGTTATATTGAATGAACCATAATACGGTAACAGAATTCTTTTTTAACAAATAAAAAAAATTATTAAAAACAAAATAATATTTAATTTATTTCTCTTTTTGTTTTTGTTTTTGTTTTTTTTTTTGTCTTTTGTTTCTCTTTAGCCCCAACGTTTGAAACAATCGTATCATTTATCAAAAGGTATGTAACACGTCTTGCACATTTACATAATAGAACAATTTACTTTCTATTTTTCTTCTTCTTCTTCTTCTTATTATTTTTTTTTTTTTCTTCTTTTTTGCACGATTCGAGAAAATATTAGAACAGCTCGTCAAAGTTTTTTATATCTTTTTGTTTTATCATTTTCATTGTCGTTTCATGTTGTTTTTGATGTTATTAATTGTTTGTTGCGTGATTATTGTTGTTGTTATTAATACACTCAAATATGATATACCTACGAGATGAAAAGAATTTGTATTAATAGTGTGATAACAATTACTTTCCTTTCTCTTTTTATCTTTATCTTCTGGTTCTTCCTTTCTCATACATTTTAAGAAACTATCATGCTTCTTTTTCTTTCATTTGGATTTTGACAATGAAACTTACTTTGTCAAATAAATCCAATCGAAAAGGCGAATGTTGGTACCATGCGAAAAAATTTGTTTATTATTATTATAATTATTATTATTATAATTATTATTATTATTATTGTTAATATTATTATTATTGTTATTATTGTTGTTAGCTTTTGTCTTGCTTCTTCTTCTTCTTATTCTTATTTTTGTTCATTTCTTTATTTATTTATTTTCTTTTCTTTTAACATTTCGTTAAATCTAGAAAATCGTTTCCGATCGAAGACTGTTAATTAACTGGGAACCTTTTTGTGTCGTTTAACATTTTGGCATTATTTTTCTTTCCCCCCCCTTTTTATTTCTTTTGTATTTTGTTTTATTTTTTTCTTTTTTTTTATTTTTCGTCTTGTTTAAATCTTGTTTATATCATCTCCTCCTCCCTTCAAATGAATTTCGAAGCATCACATAACTTTTGCCATACAGCGAGTGAAATATGCTAATTAAATTCATATAAAAATTACGATGCTTCCTCCCCTTTATTAATCTTTTTTTTCTTAATCCTTCTTCTTCTTCTACTCTTCTAAAAATATTTACAAACGATTGGGATAATTATATTATAACGTACGCATTTTTTTTTCTTTCTTTTTATGTAACAGAACAGGCATCTGTCTCTTTTCAAAACATTTTTGTAATTTATTCTTTCGCGCGTACGCAATTTGTCCCTTAACTTTTTTCTTATCTTTTTTTTTTTTTTTTCAATTTTTAATTTTTTCATCTTTTTTTGTTTGTTAATCCAAGTTTGAATTTCTTTGTATCACTGCCCGGCACATCGAGGAAGGATGAAAATCGTTTAAAGGACGATTACTTTGATTTATTTTTAATTTGTTTTATATTCAATGCTGTGTGCACTCTCGATATGTTTAACGAAACTCTCACTCTTGTGTTCGTGTAAAATAAATAATTGGAATTATTATTTCATAGAAAAAAAAAAAAAAAAGAAAAAAGACAAAATTTACTATCCTCTATGTTTACTTTTAAGATTATCAATATATTTTTCGTTACGTTTGTTCTCTAACATTAAAAAAACATAATATTAATTATAGAAATAATTCTCGTAGTAATTAAATTAAAACAATCAAATATTTTTTAACGTATTCGTTAACTAGCATTACATATTCAAATTCGTACAAATTAGACAAAATATTTGAGATAGAGAGACAATCAAACAGCTCTTATGTAGATAAATCTCAAAATTGTATTTCATCCTATTAAAATTGAGTTTAGATTTTTTCCCAAAATTTATATCACCTTAATTTCTTTATTTTGTTAATTACATTCGTAAATGGGATCGTGAAAAATTAATAATAACGATTTTCCAAATCCTTCTTCGTGGAACTAATTATCGCGCTCATATTTCTATTTATACTTCCAACAATATTTTATCAAACTAAATGGGAACATTTTGTTATAATATACGATCATTATTGTGGCATTTTTATTACAACTATATCTTTTTTCTTTTTCTCTTATTCTGTTTGTTTTAATGTTTTTATTGAAAATATGCACACAACTTCGTTCAAATAGTAAACCTACATAACATTTATTTATTTATTTATTTATTTATTTAATTATTTGTCTCTTATTGTTAATAGAATATTTATAAAGAGAGGATCCCCCCCCCCCAAAAAAAAAAACAATGCAAACAGAATTATATAGAAGAGAGAAGTATGTATGCATGTATGTGTATGTAATTCCAATTTGAAACGTTAGATAATTATTATTGTTAATTAATAGTAGAATAAATCACATTTATATCGAGATTTCATCTCGATCATGCCAATTCTTCACCCTTCGTTAAATAAAGTCTCGATTCCGATCGATAATCTCTCTCTCTTTCTCTTTCTCTTTGCAAATATTTTAAAGGCACGGGCCACGTGTGTTTAATTATTTAATTATTTAATTAATAAATTATTTATTTATTTAATTAATTATTCTTTCCTTTTCCATAATCGTTTAATTATCCAATCCATACGTTGCCATAATCGTTGCATTCGTTAGCATAATGTTATGGGTAATGTGTAAAATGTGGTCATTCAATAGAACGTCTGGTCATTTTACAAAATCCCCAAAATTTCAGAACAATTTCAGCCCAGAGAAAAAATTATTCGTGTGTGTGTGTGTGTCTGTGTTTTTCATTAAATCTGAATATTTCATTTATATATTATAGAGAAAGATTTGCTTTTCTGTTTTATTCGTATTTCTTTATCTTCTCCCTTTTGTATGTATCTATTTTTTTTTGTTTTCCTTTATTTATTTTCTTCGTTAAAGAGAATTAATTTTAACTAGTACCATAGAAACTATTTTCATCATTATCGGTTTCTATTTGTCTGTCTGTCTGTTTGTCTGTTACGCCCGAAAACTATGACAAAATTTACTCTCTTCCAGTCTATATCTTTTCTTTTGTGTGTTTTAACTCTGTTAATTAATTAATTAATTAATTTTACATATATTTATATATAGAGTCCATTATCTTCGTCATTATTATCATCATTATCATCATCATCATCGTGGAGAAGTAATAAGTTCTTATTTATAAGATATTTATTGCCGTTTAGGAAATCATCCCTTTCTCGAATATTTCACACTCTCGTTTTGTTTATTTGTTCTTCCTTCCTTCTTTCTTTTTTTTTGTTTTGTTTTTTTCGTGGCAATCGGTCGAACGAGAAAAATAGAAATAAAATATAATGAAAAAAAAATCGACGTAATTAAAAGTTTCACGATTTATTCTGTTAACATCACGTGTCATGTTTTTTTTTTTTTTAAAAAGTTTGAATAAATGTGTGAATGAATGATATTGTGATAGAGGAAAGATAAGAGTGGTCATCCAACATATAACAGCGCGATCGTATTATACCTTACAATTATGAAATTATTCAATCCTGTGTTAGAACAGTCGACGCTTATCTTCTCGTTTGCTTTGATTGATAATTTATCTTTTTTTTTTTATTTAGATATTTTATTATTATTTATTTATTTCTATTTCATTACCGTTGCAACGTTGCAATCGACCGAAGAAATCTTTCTCCCCCAACAACAACAAAAATTTGTATCTTTTTAATGAA